TGCGTGCTTTCCTAGCACCGAGCGCGATACGAACATGCGTGGACAGAACAAGGTTCGTACAAAGTCGATCGAGCCGAGCACGTCTTGGGTCGTGAGCATCGAAAGCGCCTCGGTCGTCGTCGGTGCCGGTACCGGAAACGCCGCCATAAACAGCGCGTCGGCGGTGACCACCGGTGGTGTGGCCTAGCACACCCATTAAACAACGTCCAAAAGGTAGAAGGTAGAAGCGTACGGCGGGTGGCGCAAACGAGTCAAAGCCCGAGACATACCCTGCGCTTGTTGCCGGCGCTTCAAAGCTCGCGAAATCGTCCTCGGCTTGCTCGCCAAAGTCGCCGAAATCGTCGTCGTTGTCGTTGTCGTTGCCGGCCCACGCCGAGGGCTGGACCCCCCAGCCACCGTCATTGGCCGGCGTTGACGTCGCCCACTCATTGGCTGGCGCCTTCTCGACAGCCACAAAGTCGCCAAAGTCATCGTCCACCGGCGTATCTTGCTGCACCTTGGCGGAGCCTGCGCTGAGCCACGACGACGTCGCATTGGCGGCCACCGTGCGAACGACAGCGGCGCGCTCCGTCCACGGCGTTGTGTTGCCCAAATCGGACGGCGCGGGTGACGACCGCGCGCTGCTGTCGGCTGGTGCAGACGACGGGACAGCAGGCGCCGAGGGTAGCCACGGGTTGCTCTCCGTCGCCGCAGGTGCGGTGAACACCGGTGTTGCGGCGGCAGGTGCGGTGAACCACGGGTTACTTACTACAGGTGACGCGGCTGGCGCGGCGGGTGCGGTTGCCCACGGGTTCTCAAACCCATCGTCGTCATCGTCGTCGTTCGTGGCGGTGGCCGTTAGCCATGGGTTGGTCGGTTGCGCCGGTGGGGGACTGGACTGCAACCACGGATTGGCGTCGACGGGCGCCGAGTCGGGCGGGGCTCTATCCTTGTCGGCAGCAGAAAGCCGCGGCTCGATTCTCTCTTCGGGCACTCGAGCTGTCTCTTGAAGCCACGGATTCGACGCCACATCGACGTCGTCGTCTTCTGCAAAAGAGTTGTCGGCAGCGACCGTCGTCGTCGACTCGGTACCAAAGGCGGCGTCATCATTGGCGCTGGCCGAGAGCCAAGAATGGCTCGCACTCGATGGTGTGTCATTGACCGGTGCGACTTGCTCGAGCCACGGGGTTGCCGCGGCCGATGACGCCGCGTCGTTGATCGAGAACACTGCCGTGTCTTCTTCCTGCACCGTCGCCGTGGTACTCTGCCACGGGCTGGCTGTGAACACGTCGTTCGGGACCAATGTCGCGTCTTCGGCAGTAGTCGAGTCGTCGTAGTCGACAGCAGCCGAGTCGTCGTTGTCAACTGCAACGGAGAAGTTAGCGTCGATACCAGCCGAAGAGTCGACCCACTCGCCCGACGACGTGTCCGCGACTATTGCTTCCACAGGGCTACTTGGGCTCTCCTCTAGCACCTCCGTCGGTTCGTCGACAGCCGGTGCAATCGGTTCGGCAATGATCGTATCGTCTTCACCTGCGTCGGTGGTTGCACCCGCCGCAACCACGTCGGGCGTGGTGTCGTCGTCGTCGTCGTCGTCCAGATCCACCGCATTGAGTACAGTGTCAAGTGTCGACGCTGGTGGTGCTGCCCAGTCGCTCGTCACCGTCTTCTCCACGCCAAGGTCGTCGTCGTCGTACGAGAAGGTACTGGCGGACGTCGATGCAGCAAACGCCGCGTCAAGGACTTCGTGGTGGGCGGCGGGGCTACCGACCGAGAGCGTTTGGTCCGAATTGGACGCTGTCCAGTCAGCCGTCGTCTCTTCGTCGTCGTCGTCCACGGAGCTCGTGACGGTAAACTCGACCGTCGACGCCGACGGTGACGGCGCTTCCATCATCATCGGGTCGTTCAGCGCTTGCTCCGAGGATGGGCTCACAAGATCTTGGTACACGGAGCGACTGTCTTCTGTGGCCACGTTGGAGACGTCGTCGCCATCTTCGGGCGCAGCGTTGTCAGCAGGGTTCATGAACGAGAAAACGCTATGGCCTGCCGGACTCGAGACGTCGTTGGCTGCTACCCGCTCGGGCGACGACGGTTCGCTAAACGCCACGTAGCCGTCGTCGTCCGACAGCCCGACGTCGTCGTACGCGTCAAGGTGGGACACGACCTGCGACACGGGGCTCACGAGGTCCTGGTACACCGAGTGACTGTCTTCCGTTGCAAAGTTGGACGCATTGTCGTTGTAGTGAAGCGCACCGACATCGTCGGTTTGGAAAACACTTGCCTCGTCATCGATGGACGTTGTCGGCTCTGAAGCGTCGACCGACGTCACTGTCGGCACCGCGGACATGGCGTCCTCCACGGACGTCGCATATGTGGAGGTAGTGTCGATCGAGGCAGTGGCGAGGTCATGGACGACGACTTCTCCTTCTTCGACGACTCCTGCTCCTTCTTCTTCGAGGACGCCTGCTCCTTCGACGACGTCTTCTTCGAGGACGCCTGCTCCTTCGACGACGTCTGCTTCGACGACGGCATCGTTGACGACGTCTCCTGGTTCCTCGTCGTCATCAATTGAAAACTGGTTTGCGAAGCTGTCGACGAGGCCCGCGTGAATGGCCTCGTCATCATACCGCAGCGGGGGCATTTCCTCGAGCTCGAGGACGACGGCGACGGTTGACGTCGGTTCTGGGACCTGGCCGTCGGTACTGTCGTCAGTGGGCACATCTCTCGACGATGGTTCAAGTCGTGCAGCACCGTCGGGGTCGTGGCGGGCCACAACTTCGTCTGGTGCTTGGTCGTGCTGGATGTGCTCGTCGACAACGTCCGTGCCACCGCTGGACACGACGTCGGTCGACTCCTTGCTCACAATATCATCATCGTCATTGTCCTCGTCTGTACTGTCTTGGTCGGCCATGGTCCGAGACGTCGGAGGCACCGCAGCGACGCCTTGGACAACTGCAACGTCGGCAGCCGACGCATACAGGACAGCATCTGTCTCAGCGTCATCGTCGAGGAAGCCAGAGACATCCTCGCCGATGGCCGGCGTCGATGACAGAGCGTTGTCATCGCAAGGCGCACGGACTGTTGTGACGACGTTGGTGTCACCGTGTGTTGCAGCGTCGACCTCGAGGAAGCCATCGACTTCGTCGCCGATCGTCGGCGGGGCATTCTCGTCGTCATGTGCCCCGCTGCCGACGGTCGTCGCATCAAAACTCTGGCACCCGTCCTTGTCTGCGCTGCCGTCCTGTGTGCAGGTCTCGACACCGATGTTGGCTGTCTCGTCGTGAGGCACACCGTCCTGGACATCGCGGTTCATGTGGTCATGCAAAGGGATTGGGGTTGCAAAGGAGAGCTCGGTCGCGTCGTTGGCGGCGGCAGGCGAGTCGGACCCGACAAAGGCTGCTGCAGCCATCGTCGGCTCGTCGTGGACCGGCGACGGGATCTCAAAGGAGGACGGCGCCATGACAGACGGTGCGTAGCGCGTCGGCTCGGGCTCTGTCGGAAACGACGATATAGTACCAGGCAAGAGAATTCCTTGCGAGGTAGCGTCGGCTGCGAACGGATCGGGCCCCGACGGCGCCGGCGAGTCGAGCGCGATAAAGTCGTAGGACGCGGTGGCTGGAGGCTGCGCGCGGGGCGAGTGGACCCAGAATTCGCGCAAGTCCTCCGAGAAGTTGAGGTCGTGCGTCACGGGCGCGACAGTGGTCGGGCCTGGCTGCGAGAGACCGAGAAAGTCATCCCACATGCTCTCGCGCGCCGCGACCGGCGCCGCGTGGCTGCTGCCCGTCGACATGAAATCGGCGAGATCGTCGCCCCACGAGAGCCGCCCAGTCGTGGCGTCGGCCGCAGCGGCGCTTGGCGCCACCGAGTCCCACGTGGCGCCGCTCGCCGTCGATGGCCCAAGGCCGCCCTGCAGCAGGTCGACCGAAGATGCGTCTAATGGAGCTCTCGAGGTCGCACTGGACTCGCCAAAGATGTCGTCGAGGTCCTTGATCGCCGAGATCGTCGGGGCGTCCGCCATCGCCTCAGCCGCCTCAAGTATCGGCGATGAAGATGGTAATGGTCCGGATACATTACCAAAACCATCCGGATAATCCTGCCAAAGCTGACCGCGCTTGGCAGCTGATGTTGTTCGCCCTGTACATGGCCGCTCGGACTCCGCCTGCAATTGCTCGCGCGCCCATGGATACAACAATGTCCTGTAAATGTGCGACAATATGTCGTATTGTCTTGTTGGTCTATGCAGTGTCGACTGCACGTCGCACGTATGTGGGAGCGCCGCAGCGAGGGCCGAGACTCAACTGCCGCGTTCCAAGTACGTCATGGCCTCGTACAGGCCAGTCGCAACCCTGAAGTACGTTAGCCCGAGCATGCGTGAGCGGCCATGTTGCTGTCCGTGCAGCGGCTACTCGGGCATGACGACTCCTCTGCCACGCGCCAGGGTAGCCGCCATCAAGACATGACGCTTGAGTGAGTCCCCGCACACGAAACAGTGTTGTGTCGGCGCCCTTACTGAGTTTGAACCCACACGAAGGCGCCTTGAGCAGGTTGCCATCCTCGCTCCGATTATCGCTGCCACACGGCGCGGCCACGCTGGACGACACGAAAAAGCGCTTGTGGTGCTGCCACGCGTAGCCGGATACGACGCCACTTGCGCAATCGTCGTATCCGGATGGCGACTGATTGCGCATTGCTCGAAGATCGCAAGGTCCATGGCGGATCATTTCCCAATTCGCTACACCGCCATGTCGACGACGAAAACCTACCAGATCGCAGTCCTGCCCGGCGATGGCATTGGCCCCGAGGTCTGCGCCGAAGCCGTCCGCGTGCTCCAGACCATCGGCGGCCTCTTCAAGCACCAGTTCGCGTTCCCGACCGCGCTCTGTGGCGGTGCTGCGTACGAAGCCCATGGCTCGCACCTCCCGCAGGCAACGATCGACCTTGTCAAGGCCTGCGACGCCGTGCTCTTTGGCTCTGTTGGCGGGCCCACGGATGCCCAAGAAGACCCCAAGGTACATTGACCATACGAGCACATCGAGGCGGGCGCTCACGGGTCATATAGTGGAAGGATGCGGAGAAGAACTGTATCCTGGGCCTGCGCAAGAACTTCAACCTCGCCGTCAACATTCGCCCGGGTACGCATCCATACTAGGATGCTACCAAGCAGGCACTCATGCATGCGATAGCCAAGATCTACTCGATGCTGCCGGACCTCTCGCCGCTCAAGCCGAGCCTCGTGCAGGCCGGCGTCGACATGGTCATCGTGCGCGAGCTTGTCTCGGGCATCTACTTTGGCGAGCACTCGACGACCAACGGCGTCGCGCGCGATGTCATGATCTACACCGAAGACGAAATTCGCGTCCCCGTCACCTTTGCGTTCGAGACTGCGCGCCACGTACAACGTCGAGTCGCCGCTGGTCGATGCTCATATCACTGGTAGCGCGCCAAGCGACTCACGGTCGTCGACAAGGCCAACGTGCTCGACTGCAGTCGTCTCTGGCGCAAGGTCACCAAGGAAATCGCGACCGCGTACCCGGACGTGGCCGTCGACTACATGTACATTGACAACGCCGTCATGCAGCTCATCAAGAACCCGTCCCAGTTTGACGTGATTGTCACGGGCAACATGTTTGGCGACATCCTCTCGGACGCGGCGTCCGTCCTGCCGGGGTCCCTCGGCCTCATGCCGTCGGCCAGCCTCGGTACTGAGTTATTGCGATCTTCTTGCATTTTTCGCTCATCGATATCTAGGCGACAAGATCCACCTCTTTGAGCCCATTGGCGGGTCGGCGCCCGACATTGCCGGCAAGGGCATTGCGAACCCGATTGCGCAGATCCTCTCAGGCGCGCTTCTGCTGCGCTACTCGTTCAAGATGGAGGCCGAGGCCGCGCTCATCGAGGCCGCGGTCAACGCCGTGCTTGAAAGCGGTCTCCGCACTGGCGATTTGACGCGAGACCGGACACACGCCGTGGGCACCAAGGCCATGGGCGATGCGATCGTCGCACGCATCACCGCGCTCTTCCAAGCGCCTCACTAACGCGTAACAACCTATTTGTGCTGGTCTCTTGATCGCATACTCGCAACTTCTCAAAAGACAGGAGATGTGGAAGACGCCAGACGCTAGCAGGTCGTGTAGCACATCCGCTCCATCGCGCCTCTATGCCGCCGCCAAGAGGCCAAGACGGTCTTTGTAATAGAGCGCGTGGTCCGGGTCAATGGTTCGGAGCGTTTGGTAGACGTCGATGCAGCGGGCAATCGACTCGGCAGCGCTAAGTGTCCAGTATAAGAGGCCAAAGGATCCAAGAAGGCGACGAACCTCTCTGCATCCTCTGCACGCTCGACGACCGCTTCCTTCTCGAGCACAAACGCCAGCGTCACCTACAGCCACACTCGTGCATATGGGTGATCAAGTTGGAGATAACGTACGAGCGCCATTTTGGACTCGGGCTCGAGCTCCACGAGCTCTTCGATCCAGCTCACTTGCTCCTGGAGAAGCTCGTGCAGCGTCATGTGCATGCCATGGTCGTCGTCAAACTCGTTGTCGATCGCGGGGTCGTTCTCGCATACGTTGGACGGCGGCGGCGGCGACAAGACGAGCGACTCGACGACCCACCGGTAGTAGAACCAGTTGCTTTGGTCGTCCGGCTCGGTAAAGACGGCTTGCTTGACGAGCTCGATCTCCATCATCGCGACTTCGAGCGGCAGCGGCGACGGCAGCACCAGCGTGCGCTGCTGGAAGGCAGAGTAGTTGCTGAAGTTCTGCTCAATCTTGGTCATCGTGAACGCGAGCACGTCGTCAAGCGGCGTCTTGGCAACACGCGCCACGAGCCGGCGGTAGTTCCAGCAGTGAAAGTTGCGCTCGTCCTTGTTGAGAAGGAGGTCGCAGAGCTGCAGCTCCTTGGTGAGGTCGACCATGCCCTTCTTGACGAGCCACTCGCGCTGGAACCACGCCGAGTAGCTCTTCGGGTTCTTCATGAGCGCCTCCTGCGTCAAGGCGCACTCGGCCTCGCCGAGCGCTACCTTGGCGCTCGCATCCTTTGCGATCAAGTGCTCGATCGTCGCCCGCCGGAACGCCCACACGATCCAAAATTCGGGGTTGAGCGCCACGACGTACGCCGACAGCTGCAGCGACGCCGCGTCAAACTGCTGCGCATTCTTGAGGGCCATGACTTGCGCCGAGACCTCCTTGTACTTGGCGACGAGCGCGACCATCGCGGCCTCTTCCTCGGGCGTCTGCGCCACGTCCGACTTGCGGATCCCGTGCATGTTGCAAAAATATGGTGGCGTCTGGGATGCACCAGGACATTAGGCCATTCCGCGTCCTAATTAGGCTATTAGTATTTTGCATCAGGCCATGCTCTCGTCCCGTGCACGGCTCGCGGCCAGAGAGAGCGCCAAGGACGGGTCGCTCGCCCGCCCGGGGTACCTCGCGCAGCTCGTGGCCGAGTGCACTGATGCAGCAACGACCCCCGACGCCAAGCTCCAGTGCGTGGCCCACCTCGCCAACTTTGGCTACGACCCGATCAACTATATGCATCTGCTGCGCTTGAACGTCCTCGACCTGTTTGTGGATGTGCTGGACGAGGCCCTGCAATCGCCCAAGGCAACCGAGATGACGACGTCGTTTGCACGCTTGGCGATGCAAGGAATCTGCAACGTGGCGGCCGACCCCAGGTTCCAGGTGCTGCTCATGCAGAACGATGCACTGCCGTTGCTCGCCGCCGCGATCCAAGTCGAGGACAGGGCCACCCGCGTGTCAGGTCTCACGACGCTCTTCTTCCTCCTCGACGCACCGCCCAACGTCGTGCCCGAGGCGGCGCTGCGCAAGGACGCATCCATCCATGCGATCGTCGCGGTCGCGGCTCAGTCGACCGAGACGGTTGTGGCCAACACGGCGCAGGCCTTTCTCTCGCGATGTGCCGAGGTGGCGGTCGAGGACGATGCCACCGACGAGTCTACCATGGCGCGATAGCAACATGCAAGTGTGTAATTTACACGCGAATATAGCACTGTACAAAAAGGCTCGTTTACTCTTCCAAGTCGGGCAAGTCTTCGTCGTCCGAGTCCTCGTCGTCCATGCCGTCGGGCATCATGCCGGCGCCCTGCTGGGCCATCATCTGGTTGATGTCAAAGCCACCGCCGCCGCTGAGCGCGCTCATGTCAAAGCCTTGGTCGTCTTCGGCGTCGTCCTCGTCGACGTACTTGTTCCAGTCGACCTTGACGTTGGTCTTCTCGAGCGCCTTGTCCTTAAGGAGGTGCGGCCAAAACTCGGCCTCCTTGTCCTTCTTAAGGATGTAGAAGTGCACGTTGCGCGCCGTCGTCGCCCACTTGGACTCCTTCGCGGCCGTGTCCACTTCGTGCATAAAGTCCAGCGTCACCTCGTACTTCTGCTGGTTGCTCACGCCGGTAAACTTGAGGCTCGAGTTGGTCAAGATGACCTTCTCGTCCTTGACGTCCGGGAGGTCGATCGTCACGTAGAGCGAGTCGGCGCGCTGCGCCCACTTGACGGGCGCCCACAAGGTCGTTTGGGTCATTGGAATTGACTTGAATACTGACGCCACCTCACCACCGACCGAACGCAGTCTTTTCCAGAAGCCAAGTCCGGATCCGGATAAGACAACTGAAAGATCGCAACACATGGACAAGCCGACCGCTGCATGGACGGGCCACCTTTGCCGCACCGAATCGATCGACCGACGCCATTCGCTTCCGGTGCTGCCACATTCAGCGTTAGGAAGCACCTCGGTGCTGCACGCCACAGCCTTGCGTGGGCATGCGTTGATGGCTGGCGACAACCATGATGCGACACTGTCGCGACGACATGCAGCAAGACCGAGTCGAGGACATGCAAGAGTTGTTATCGAAACAGGGGTGGCTTAGACAAGCACGATGCGGCGCATGCTAGACGACGATGGAGGGGTGATGTACTGGACGCGCTGCGCGGCGAGATGCCAGTTGAGGCGAGCGATGGCGACGCAAAGCAAGATGGCTTGGATGGTCTCGGCACAGCCAATCGCATACCAAAAGCCGGGAAGGTCCCACGCAAGGTAGATGGGCATAAAGACACAGAGCGGAATGAGCACGCAGATGCGGCCGAGCACCGAGACGATCGCGACGACGTCGCCCATGGCCAGCGCAATGAGGGCACCGCCGAGCAAGGCGCGGGCCAGCGTCGCCGCGACGCCAAACACAAACACGTCCGAGGCGTCGGCGCAAAGCGCTTGCACCGCCACGTCACGCGTCCAGAGCGAGATGATAAGTGTCTGCAACGGCAGAAGAACACTGAGTAGCACCAGCGTCGCGCCGCCGACCACGACAGTACCCAGCGAGAGCACACGCCGGGCGCTGCGTGCACAGCCTTGCCCGAGGTACCGTGTCATGCGCGCTTGCGTCGCGGCGGCGGCGCCGTGGATGACGGCCGAGATAACCCCAAAAAGGCCGAGAAGGATCGCTTGCGCAGCGGCGACGGGATATCCGAGGTAGCCCGAGAGCGTGCCCATGAGCGTGAGCGGGACATAGTCCATGGCGGCAGCGGCGCCCGATGGCACGGCGAGTGCGGCAAACGTGAGAAAGTAGTCGGGCTCGATGCAGGCCCACGACCAGCCGCCCCAAAACTTGGCGTGGTACCGCTTCCACAGCAGCGTGTACGCGGCAAAGACAGCGAGACGAAAGAGAGTGCTCACGGCGCCGGCCATGGCCGCGCCGGCGACTCCATAGCGTGGCACGAGCAGCAACGTCGCCACAAGATGCACGCCGACTGCGGCAAAACTCGCGACAGTAGTGGGGACAATGACGCCGTGCGTGTCAAAAAAGGCCGCGAGTGCACAAAAGAGGTACTCGGGCACGACACCGAGGCTGGCCACGCGGGCGTACGAGCGACCGAGGCGCACGGTCGCCGCGTCATCGACCGAGAGGCCAATCATGTCGCCGACAAAGTAGTGCCACAGTATCACGGGAATGGCGCTCACGAGAGCGAAGACGATCGAGGTCTGTAGCCACGTCCCGAGGAGCACGTCGTAGCCCGCGCCCTTGGCCTGCGCGCATAGCTTTGTCACGACGGCAATCGCCGCGGTCATAAATGCCGTCGGCAGACCGATCCATGCCTGCGCCAGCGCGGCGGCGGCGAGCTCGCGCGTGCCAAGATGCCCAAGCACCGCCGCCGTAATGAGCGTGACGAGGTGCCGCGGCAGGCTGCGCACCGAGAGACGCAGTGCGAGGAGACTCACGGCGCCGAATTCGCGGTGCAACGGGAGCACGACGTGCGGCTGGATCCCATCCTCGTACTGGAACGGTGCGGGTGGACTTAGGAGTGTCGAGCCTTCGGACGCCATGCTGAGGGTGTCGAGAACGAATTGTGCCAAATGAAGTGCTTGGAATGGGTCCCAGCCAATCGGCATCGCCCAGATGGCTACAGACTGCAGTCTCACACCAGCCTTTCAAGCCGCTGTGTTGCCCAGCTGCCACGTTCGCGCCAAGCTGATACACTAACTTCGCGCGCGTTTCGATCGCCACCACGTGGTTGGGTGTCGCGCCGCCACGAATTCAGTCGACTTGTGCACTGTAATATATACTGCAATATGTGCGTTAGTCGAAGAGTACTTGCGATGCGTTTCTAGTCGTTGCGATGAATCTCTCTCGTATCGCGGATGCTACCGGTATGATGTTTGCACCATGCTGCTAGCCGCACTTCGACGCACGTCGTCCAAGCTGCCACGTCAGATCGTATTCACACACAGCGTTACAAACCAACTCGGTCGCCAATGTGGCATGTGCCACCTTTAGATGCCTAAACAAGGTGTTTGCCGCAAATAGACGATGATGTTGAAGCGTGGCGTCTACAAAAAACCTGGTGAAACCGACTTCAACATGGCAAGTCACTATGCAGTATACTATTTCCAAGGCTAAATAGAGTGTCACTATACAAAGGTCGTTCAAGTCAGGTACATTGTCGGTCCTTGGGCCTGGGTCCGATGTGCACTGTGGGGAATTTACGGGTCAATTAAATACAAAAATTTAAATAAACATCTCTTTGGTATGGAATGGCACGAATCCTAAAATTAATATGCACATTCCCCATTTAAAACAAAGATCGCCACTTGCTTCAACGTGGCACGAGCGCAATGCCAGTTTGCCTTTTCACCGCTAAGAAATGACTGCCAAGAAAACGTCGAGCGAGCATTGGTATGGAATGGCACGAAATTTAACTCAAACAGCTCTTTGGTATGGAATGGCACGAAAACTAATATTAATATGCACATTCTCCATTTAAAACAAAGATCGCCACTTGCTTCAACGTGGCACGAGCGCATTGCCAGTTTGCCTTTTCACCGCTAAGAAATGACTGCCAAGAAAACGTCGAGCGAGCAGTCGTCGCTCCTCAAGGCCGAGGTCGAGATGTATGGCACGACCGACAAGAAGACGGACGATGCGCCGGCCGTCCCGATGCCGGATGCAATGATCCCCGTTAGCCAAGAGATCCGCGAGCTCACGAGCATGGCTGTGCAGCTCTCGATGCGGCAGATGGTGCGCCAAGCCATGACACTCACGGACGCAGCCTTCCAGGGGCACATTGGCACCAAGCAGCTCGCCGGTGTTGCGCTTGCCGGCATGTGGATGGGGGTGCCCTCGGCCTTTATCCAGTACTCGATCCAGGCGATCCCGACGCTGTGCGGCCAAGCGTACGGCGCGGGCAACAAGGTGCTCGTGGGCATCTGGCTCCAAACGGCCGTCGTCTTTGCAATCGTGACGTGCATCCCGGTCATGGTCTACTACATGTTTGTCGGGCGCATGATTGCCTTGACGATGGACGACGCCGAGACCGTACGACGTCCTTCTTCAACGAGACACATCTCTCATTTCGCACCTGTAGGTCTACTACGGCAGTGAGTTTGCCAAGGTCATGGCGCTCGGTTTGATCCCGCAGTTCATCTACAATGCATGTGCGTCCTACTTTGCCGCGCAAGGCATCATCATGCCGGCGACCTTGTGCAGCGGCACGACGATGCTCCTCAACATCTTCTTCAACCAGCTCTTCATCTACGGTGGCTTTGGCTACGATGGCCTCGGCTTCATCGGCTCACCGATCGCGACCGTCACGAGCACGTACCTCCAGCTCATCCTCTTTCTTCTCTACACGGTCGTGTGGAAGAAGTACCATGTCGACTACTGGGGCGGCTGGTCCACCGAGTGTCTCAAGCGCGAGCGCGTCCAAATCTTCCTCTCGCTCGCCGTGCCCATGGGCATGTCGTCGGTCGTCGATTGGAGCTCGGCCGCCGTCGCGTCGGCCTTCTCGGGCTTCCTCGGGCCGCAGATTGCGGCCGCCATGTCGGTACTCAACGGGATTTACGGTGTCGCCAACTCATGCGTCTCGGGCTTCTCGATCTCGACGCAGATCCGTATGAGCCGGTACCTCGGCCAAGGCCACGCGGTCGCCGCGAAGCGGGTCTTGCTGCTCGGCGCCCGCATCGTCATGTGCTCGGCGCTCGTGCTCATGACGTCCGTCTACTTTCTCCGCAACTTCCTTTTCCGCGTCTGGAGCAACGACCCGGAGATCAACGAGCTCTGCGCGTCGTCGCTCGTGTTCTTCATCCTCTGCGTCATGGTCGCCTTTGGCCGCTTCCTCCTCACGGCGTCGATGAACGCACTCTCGATGGCCGACGTCAACCTCATGGCCAACAACGTTGCGTCCTGGTGCATCTACGTGCCGCTGAGCTACCTCTTGCCCATCACGCTGGCCATGGGCATCGATGGCTTCTGGATTGCCGATACGTTCGGCGAGATGTTCAAGTTCGTGGTCCTCGCCTGGGGCCTCCTCCGCGTCGACTGGCAAGCGCGCGCCGAGCAGGCCATGGCCGCGGCCGAGAAGCCCGACATGATGCGCCCGGACGAGGAAGAGGCGCGGGAGCTTGTCGCCTATGGCAACGAAGCACTCACACCCGGCAGTGCCCGGTCGCCATCCGTGGCCTTTACGACGCGCACGCCGCACACGCCCACGCTCATGCAGCGCGCCATGTCGCTCACACCCAAGCGCACCAAGCACATCTAGTCTTGTCGAGCCAAGGGTCCATTTGAAGCGTCCGTTCTATTGAGCCTTTCGGTTGAGTGCATCGTTCATACGCTGCAGATGACACGCGGTCTGCTATTTGGTTACACGGGTGCTCGCCGCTCGATCGGTAGCAGCGGCGCCAATGCAGCGTCGACATCGCTGGCTAATGGCGGAGCGACCTTGGTCGACGCGAGGCGTTGATCCATGAGCTCGGAGCTGGGTGGTACCATTGATGGCGGGATTTTGGTCGAGCCGCGGTCGTCCGAGGGCGACACAACGGCCGGTGCCAGGAGCCCGCGCTTGGATGAAAAGAGGTGCGACTGCGACAGGAGCTTGATCGGCAGCTTGCGCCGGGAGGATGCCTCGGTCGACAGGTCCATCTTAATGTTGCGCTGGAGCTTCTGCCGGGGTTTTCGCCCGGGCAGAAAGGCGACAAACGTGGCCTCGGACGTCGTACCTGATGGCGGCTTGGCGCTAAAGATGCTTCGGAGCCCGAGAAGACGAATCGCGTTGCTGGCTTTTTCACGCGCGGCTTCGGCGGCCACGATCTGCGCCGCAAGCGCTTTGGCCACGCGGACGTACGCCTCGACTTGGTCGGCGAGCGCTGTTGTGGGTGGGTGCTGGAAGGGTCCGACGGGCGACGACCGACAGAAGAGCAACTTGGAGAAGCGCGGGAAATGGAGAAAGGCCGGAATGCGCCACGTGGTCGGCTTTGGACGACCGCTGACAAGGTGCTCGTAGATGGCAACCGTGGCTTGAAAGTGTTCGATGGCGGCGGTCCACTCGGACTTTTGAACCATGACGAGGCCCGTGAGGTACTCGATCTTGCATTGGTGCAATGTGATTCTTTCATCGTTAGACGCAAAGTGGAGCGACGGGCCGCGCGATAGGCGCGATAGGCGCCGCGCCGCGTGGCGGTCACTCGACCCGACCAGCGCCAAGTGGCGGCCACTCGACCCGCTGCCCCCCAACGTCGCGTCGGTGAGCGCCAACACGTCACCGGCGGAGGTGAGACACGTGAGGGCATAGTCCGAGACGCCGCGCAGCAGGGCTTCTTCGGCGCCGCGGCAGTAGTGGTCCATTGCATCGGTGTACATGCGGCAGCGCGACTGATGGTACGCGAGATGGCTGTAGTACTGGAACCGCGGTAGCCGGTGGCTGGGCACTTCGTATTCAAACCAATTGGCAAAGACCTTGTGGATAACCTCCCGCTGCGACGGCAGCATGACATTGTACACAACGGTGCGGGCTTCGGACGACGTGTACTCGATGGTCTCGTTGTGCTTGTCAAGTTTGAGGATGCCGGCGGCTTCGAGCGGACCAAGTCCACTTAGCGCTTGGATAGTGACTGTCTGTGCGAGCAGCCGTGTCGAGCCGCCGCTGTGGACGCTGCCGTCGTACGACGCTTTTGGTGCAAAGCTGCTGTCGGCTTCGAGCTGAAACACCGTGCGCAGCACAAACGAGAGGCAGTCGAGCGAGACGTACTCGAGGCCGACGCTCGCAATGCGCAGTGCGAGCTGCGAGATCATCGAGAGCGAGTCGTAGTGGTACATGACCTTGGCACGCGTCTGCACCGACACCTCCATATCGACTTCGTGAACGTCCTTGTGGACATGGCAGACACCGCGCGTGACATCAATTTCGATGGCTTCGACTTCGAGGAGCCGCTCCATGAGCGTGATCGTGTCGCGCGGGTTGCCATGGGCGCGGCCGTGGACGAATTCGAGCAAGTACGAGTTCATGATAGCGATGCCGTACCGATGACTCAGAAAGAGCGACGTGTCGCGAAGACTGAGGTTGCTCAGTTCATACCGAAAAGTCAGTGGTGCCATCTCGAGCTTCTTGAACGCGTCGTGGCTCGGTGCCGCGTCCGTGCGGTGGGCGACGACGACTGCAATGTTGCTCGAGACACTTGCGGCCGTCGTGAGGAGGTCCCAGCTTTGTCCGTCGACCCACTGCGCATCGTCGACGACGAAGAGGAGCGGGCGACTCATGGACGCTTGCTGGAGGATCGCCACGACCATCACGATCAGCTCCTTGAGCAGCGCGTCCTTGTTGGCCGCGAGCGCGAGCGTATAGTTGTTTTCGGGAAAGCAGTGCGGAATGAAGAAATTGAGCAACGGTAGCAGCTCGGGCGAGAGGCTTCCCGACTGCACAACCGAATTCACAAACGCAAGGCCGCTACCGAGCGCGATAGACTGATCAATACGCACGGCCGACACGAGTGACTCGACGCGCGATCGGTCGGCGTTTGCATCGTCGTCATCATCGTCGTCATCATCGTCACCATCGTCGTCGTCGTCGTCGTTGTCGTCGTCGTCGTTGTTGCCGCTGTTCTTGCTCGTGACGACGGCGCCGGGTAATCGCGACTTTTCCGTGTTGACAACGATGACGTCGATCATACGCCCCGATGGCGACGGCGCCAAAGTGTTGGTCCGCCACGACACACCGCGCGCGAGAGTGTTTTGCGTCAAGGCGCGTGCGCTGCCACTAACGGTCGGTGGCAGCGACCGCATGCTACCTGCCGTCGCCAATGTCTGGCCGCTGCCGTTGGGCGATCTCGAAGCATTGTTGTTATGATCGAGCACCGAGAGTCGGCGGCCGAGGACGACGAAGCCTGCATCCGACTCTTCGACGCGGTGGGCTTTGACGCGGTTGGTGCCACAGATGATGGTGCTCATGAGTTTCTTCCATATATACAAGGGTGTGTTCTTCTCCACCGAGTCCCCGGCGGCATACACGACGTTGGGGTGGACCTTGGTCAAGTGGCGCAAGAGGCACGACTTGCCGACACCGGTAAGCCCCCGAAGTAAGACGACTCGCTTCTGAAGCGGGTCGAGTTGCTCCGACGGCATATGCGACGAGTCGGTCGATTGAAACCGAGCAGCAAACGCTTGAACCCGCTTGATCACATTGACGTAAATGTCGGGCGACAAGAAGATCTCGCCATGGTCGAGCGGGTGCGCCTTGTTGTCGGTATTTGCATCGCGAAAGACTCGAAAGACGGTGATCGTCGTCCCTTTTCCCTTGACGAGCACCGGCGAGCCTTGGTCAAACTCAAATAACGTTGTGGTTGCCGACTGCGTCGCTTCGTCGCAGAGAATTTGGCCGGGCAACGCCACCGACATGAGCCGCGCCGAGAGGTTGATTGTATCGCCCACGACCGCATACTCGGCCCGCACCGCGCTGCCTACAAAAACGCGACTTCAACCACGACAAGACGCCGGGTTGGGATACCGATGCTGCCGCAAAACGCGGGCCCGGACGTGATGCTACATCACCGTTGATCAAGACGATGAACCGACGCACATTGAATTACCCAATGCAGGCTTTGACACCTTTCTCTTGCAGGTAGAGTGCCATGCGAATGCCATGTAGAGCTACAACCAAATATGAAAGTGCAAAGTTGAAAGTGCAAAGTGAAAATGCCAATCGGTACCGTTGTTTTCGTGGTAGAACGGGGGCAGCCCGACAATGACGATGGCCACGGCGCCCTTGTCATCGATGAGAAATTGTCGGATTGTAGCTACGTAGCCTCCATCATCGACCCCACGACTAAGCGCTGGTCAGAGAGGCGTACCGTGCACGCGGTAGGCGGCGTCTTGCACGGCGCAGAGACAGCGATGCACCTCCAAGAGCTGCGCTTGCGGGTCCGTAATCGTTAAAATCTCGCTAAACTTGATAAAGATCGCCGTGATCGAGCGCATGCCGTTGATCACAAGCTTCCCTTTCCCAAGCGAGAGCGAGATGCAGCCGGGGACGTACGACTTGATGAGCGGAATAAGGTCCCCCGAGAGCTCTAATGGTCTTGTCGGGTACACGCGCGGCGTATTACTCTCGAGACTGTCGATGCGGTAGTTGCCCGTGAGGAGCACCGTTGACTGCACAGCCAGGTTTTCAATCGCCGCAGACGCTACCAGCGCGTGGTAGCACTCGGACGAGACCACGAGCTCGCCCTCGCCCGCGTCGTGTTCGGCCATGGACATTTGCTGGTTGGCGTGACCCGCCACGTAAAACTCCCATCGGTTCAAGAGGCCACCGACGTGATTCCCAGTGACTGTGCTAAGACCCATGCCGACGTGCATGCCGAGCCGGTGGCTTCCGGCCGGCTGACCACGCAGCATGCCGAGAACCTTGAGCGCACACAGTATTGCAGTGTGCACGAGCAGCCCGTGGTCGACGGGAGTTAATGGCGTACTGTCGGTACGAGGCGCGGACGATTCGGTCTCCCACATGACAATCATCGCGTCGCCGGCAAACTAGACACGTTCTTGAATGGCATGACAATGATCCTGCTGTTCGTACCTTGATGATGTCGCCGTTGTGCTCGGTGATGATGTCAATCACGGGAGCTACGCAATTCTTTGAGTTTAGGAATGGACGACAAATGTGTACCGAGTGTTTGGTTGAGATGCCGCGTGAGCTGCTCGACGGCCATGCCGGCCCGCGCCGGCATGCTTTTCTTGGCCGACGCATCGCCAGTTGAATTATGCCGCTCGGGAAAACTCGCCTTGTCGCCAACGATGCTGCCGCGCTTGTCGGAGGACGGCGCGGTGTCATCGACGTCGTGGCCGATGCGCAGCGAGACCTTGTCGGACGCGGTGCTCACGCGCCGATGGCTCGCGGACCGCGAGATGTCGAGCTTCCCCGTCATGCTCATGCGCGACTTTGCCTCAGCGCCAGTCGGCACGGGCGCCCGGTGGGTCTCTTCCCGAGCGAGGCGGTCGGCGAGCGTTGAGAAGCCCGAGATATCAAAGAGGGCAACGACCGCCGTAAACGATGCTATCGCAGGCGCCTCGAGCTTGGCGCGCGACGCAATGTAGTTGGAGAGCACGATGCGAGGCACGTAGCGCGAGAGGACGTCGAGCTCCTTCTTCTCCTCCCGGGTTATCCTTGTCGCCCGCGCTTCCATGGAGCGTTCTGCGGCGTTAGCAAGGCGGGACGACGACGCCGTGCTAAATTTAAGACAACGAATTGGTTTTTCATTTATACGCTTTACATGGCGCTCGTGCCCAAGCGACTCGGGCTCAAGTACAAGCCCGTGCCGACGCTCGCAGTTGAGTACGAAGGCATCGACCATGCGCTCCACGTCGAGGTTATCGAGCTACCCGAGATCCACTTGCGCTCGACGGCAAACGAGCTTCTGAAGCGCGTCCAGACATCCCATGACGTGTTTCGGCCCAGTGTCGTCAACCACGAACAGCTCACGCGGCTACTCGAGCAGCTCATCTCAGAGACGACGCGATCGGTCGAGCTGCCTATGCGTGCAGAGGAGAGCCCGCCCCCTGCACCACAGAGCGATGCCCCGCCGGCTTCGATGGAGCGACCAAACCCCGTCGAGGCAGCAGTAGAGAGTGACGACGAGGCGGCTGAGAGTGCCGAGGAGGACGATACACCACCGCCGGTAGCAATGAAGAGAGAAACTAACGACGAGTCGCGACAAGAGACAATGATGGAGCCGCCGCGGGGCGACAGAGATGTGCCGCACGACGAGCCCGAACCAGCGACCGAGACACTGCAGACAACTAGCTCTCGGGCGGACGATGACAACGATGACGATGAGTTGGCCAAGTCGGCGAGCGAAGACGAAGAGTCGTTTGAAGAAAGCTTTATGGAGGAGAGCGTCGAAGCGAGCGTGGATCGGGGCGCCGACGTCCAAAGCGAGGCAGCCGCTACTGCGCACGACCCGCCGCCGACGCCAACGCCCGAGCCGGTGGCAGCACCCGAGCTGGTCAAGGCTCCGTCGGTTGCGACGCCGGCGCTGGAAGAGTCGAATGTCGAAGAGAGCATGGAAGAGATTGCATCCGAGGCCGAAGAGGAGCTAGGTACGTCTCGACGACGACGCGTGCGGTGTCCTCATGCATCTGCTAGATTACTTTTCGGGTGGCGAAGACAGCGGTGACGACGAAGGGTTCTAACTTACAATCTTTGAGGACACTTTGACCTTTATTGTGTCGGACGCTATCTCACAAACGAGATACTCCACCGAGTTTTCTTGACTCGAGTCAAAAGTGCTAATCACATTGTTGTTTCGTCTCTTACAGGACCTCGTTCGTCTTAAATTTTGTTGGCGGGTGACACTTCGGACTGCGGCTCGCGCGTGCTGCGCGACCTACTGCTCCGACGTCCAAAGCCACGGCGTGAACTCATCGCGCGGGGTGCAGACCGCGACTAGACAAGGGTTGTTCGCATGAATCTCAAAATGAAACTTGAGCAATGTACCTGGATCAAATGGACAAACTCTTCGTAGTTGATCGCGCCGTCGTGGTCGCTATCGGCGACGCTCATCATGTCTTGGACCGCGAGCTGATCAAAGTCGGGTCCGAGCAGCCCTAATCATCGTCATCCTTGAGTGTGCTGCGTGCTAATCGTCTTTTGTACGAGCGAGGCCGTCGGTGCGGATCCCACCCTTGGTGTCGTCCGGGTTGAAGAGCTGGTACGCCTTGCGCAGCACCGTCTCGTCGATTGTCGTCGGGTTCATCACGGCCGAAATGAACTCGACGAACGTCACTTGGTTGGAGTTCTCCATGTCGAGACTAGGTACATTCGCACATTTGTTTCCACAAGCTGCATGAAAAGGCACGAAATGTGTACCTGGAAAAGATTTTGGCAAAGTCCACGGCCGGGTACTTGGACGTGAGCGACGCTTGCTGCAAGTCCTTGATGGTCAAGACGCCGTTGTGGAGGACGTTGAGCTCGTCAAACGCCCGGCGAATGTCCGAGATGTCGATCGACGGACAGCAAAATGCCACCGCGAGGAGCCCTACGCAGCATTATGTAGCCTCTCCATTTTCAGGAACAGGTCAGCGGACCCGCACGCTTCATGGCGCCAAACGAAGCGTACTCGGAGAGCCGTGTAATGACATCGTCAATCCTACGCCCCTGTCATCGCGAGCTCCTTGCAAGGTCGGAACGTACTGGCACGCTGGCGACAGCGGAACGTCAGCGCTTTGCACCCACGGGTGCATGAGCACCTGTAGCGCCGTGTAGCGTTTGTTAATGTCGGGCTACTCAGCGTGATCAAAACACGACGCCAACGTGCGAGGTGTACTTCGAGGAGGCGCTGGATCAATCGCTTGGCGTCCTCCGAGACGTTGGCCCAGCTGTCGCCGTCAAAGATCACCTGCACGGCATATTAAATGCGGGATACTATGGGGAAGGAGCTACGTGCCTTGGCTTCAAAGATGCTCTCGACGATCTCGTCCTCCGTATCGCCGTGAAATGGCATCGAGTTGCTCAGAAGCATGTACTGCCATAGCGTCCAATCTTAGATCGATGCTGCAAGCGCCACGCACTACATACCATGACGACCCCGAGACTCCACATGTCGCACGCCTACATACACCCGTCGTCTGGAGAAGCCGTGTGGGCGCGACGGGAGCTACCTGCGTGTACTGGCCTTCGAGAAATTCGGGCTAAGCACACGCGGGAGCAGCATGAGATACCTCCGAGCAAGCAAGCGCAGAGTACGCACGGCCATGTAAACCACCGAGCCGAGCACGGTTTGCATGAGGACGCCTTCGCGAAACATGGTGCTCGCGCCGAAACTAGACAGAAAATGAGTGCGCACTCGTGGTCCATCGAGCATACTCGCAGAGCTTGACTTCGGCGCCAGCGCAGTCGGTCTCGTACAGAATGTTCTCGAGCTTGATGTCGCGGTGGCAAATGTTCTTGAGGTGGAGGTAGTGGATGCTCGCCGCGAGCTTGCGCACGTAGAGCTTGGCCGTGGCTTCCGGGAAGGCCTCTTTCCGCGACTTGATCGCATTGAAGAGGTGGCCACCCGTGCAGAGCTCCATGATCATGTAAATGTGCGTCGGCGACTCGTACGTCTCGATAAGCCGGACGATGTTGGGGTGCTGCAGCCCGCGCCAGAGGTCGATTTCCTTGCGCAGCACGGGCAACTTGGCGTTGGGCCCAATCGTAATGACCTATTCCACTGTGAACTACATGCGCTGGAAATCGACTCGCATGCCTTCATCGCAAAGTGCTCGTTCGTGCCGAGGGCTTCGACTTGGTTGACGACACCGAACGCGCCCGTGCCGAGCTCCTTGATGACGCGGTAGCGCGTAAAGACGTCGACGCCGTCGTAGTGCGTGCAGAGGTTGCGGAGAAAGGTGTTGGGGAGGCGCAGCTCCGGCGCGTCCGACGACTGCAAGCAGCCCATGCTTCGTCGCAAGTGGCAAAAATACTGAGTTGGGCGCCCAATGCGGCCGGTGGTGACATACAATAGCGTGCGCTACAAACAGCAAGGCATTTCAATAGCAAGCGTTGATTCGCATTGGCCAATCACGTCCCTCCTTGCCATTTCGACACCACCTTGGATACTATTACCGGTACGCGTTGAAGTGTTATTTTGAGCCTGTTGCGGTTGGTGCGGACGAGCCAATGGCACGTATGGACCGTGGCGGAACGCCCAATTAAGGTTACATCACAGTCGACGAGCTAGTCCAGTGGCCGCCGACCTCGTGGCCGCTTTGACAGTCTGCACTCTGCTGTGGCGTCGTTGTGTGTGCTTTTTCTCTGTCTGTCGTGGCCAAGTATCAACTTGACACTGCACAGAGAGAGGGCTAACGTGTCATAATCCCCAGTGCATAATCCCCATGCTATCCTCTTTCACTAGCATCCGAGAACTGTATCTACCTGGCTGCTCCCATAGCAGGTCGAGACCCGGTTCGCGTCGGTACACTGCACTGGAATTTGCTTCTCCGTAAAAGACATGAGGCGAAAAGCACAGCAACGATCCACGTGATGGTCGTTTAGCCTGTCGGGTGGACTATAGTTGGAGTTATGAAGTGTCTTTAATGATGTAAGGCGCTTGAAGATAACAATTTGAAGGGCAAGCGGAGTGGTCGACTGTCCCGTGCGATGACTGTAGCTCGTCGTTGTGTAGGACCTAGCCAGTAGTACCTATATCGTCCTTTGCTTTCATGTCAAGGTGTAGCATGCTCTCGGGGCCCGCGGACCACTGCTCACGTCAAAGTGCCGTGTCAATCGCGGACCTTTCAACCAATCATATTTCAATGTCGAGATTGCACATCTTTGGATTGGGCACTTTTTTGACAAGCTGCAAACGATTGGCCGAAATCACGCGGTACCTCATCCGGATACCAACCGGCGAAAAGAGGAGGAATGCGCAGGATTTCAGCAGCGCCGATGAACATGGGCGCCGAGTCGTACCGCTTCGTGCACGCCGACTGCGCAGCGCCGTCCATCTTCCGCTCCGAGTACGTCAGGTAATGCCACGCAACCAGCTTGACCGAGCTAACGCATGCCCTCGGCGGCCTCTAGGAACAACCGGTCCAGCGGCCACAAGGTACGCGTGCACGACCGCCCATGTACTAGTATCTCACCTGCCCACCTTGCGTAGAACGTTCGGTACAAGCGGCGATGCATGGGCGAACCATCATCCTTCATGTTGCACATAGGTGCTTTCCGCATTGCTGTGGCGCGCACCGCGAGACGACGTTTTGCGGCTCGTCGATCGCCGTCGAGGGCGGGCCGGCGCACATAGTGTATGGCCGCTTCGAAGAGGTCGACGACTCGGCGAGAGGCGACTCGCGTATCCTTCCAGGGACGATCGTACCGATTGCCGACATTGTTGCGAACGAGAAGAACGCGGCCAACCCGTTTGGCATGTGGATGCACGGCGTCAAGACCGGGAACTCGGGCTACACGTACGAGATCAACCAGATGAAGCAGTCGTGGCACTATGGCTGGGTCTCGTCGCGCTTCAACTCGGAGACGCTGCACCACTTTAAGGTTCCCGCAGCGGCCTCGATACGAGGTCATTTCATCCCTCGCGTAGGTCTACTTTTTTGAAAAAGTGAGCGCCGATCACTTTGTGTGTTGCGCGTCGCTGCCGTCGCCGTCGTTTTCCATCTCGTCGAGCCGCAAGACGCGCAAGAAGACGACTAAGGTCACCAAAACCAAGGCCGAACCGCCGAGCGAAATGCCGGTGGCCTCGACAAGGGCGTCGGAGACTCCGCCGAGTCCGCGAATCAAGTCCGAGCCTGGACTGCCTGTCGCGCCGCAGCCACCGCATCCGCCGCATCCAGCGCAGCACACACTGCAGTACCCACCGCCGCCGCCGCAGCAGCAACAACAGCAGTATCAACCGCAGCAGCAACATCACCTGCAGCAAGTCCAGCTGCATCAACAACACCAGCAACACCAAAACCAGCTACAACATCAGCACCAGCTACAACATCAGCACCAAGTACAGCAGCAGCAGGTGCAGCTACAACAGCACGCAAACAACAGCGGCTACATGCTTCGCATGCCCGACCTCTCGGGCAGCCTCGTCGCCTTTTTAGAAGATCGGTATGCATCGTTCCCGAGCCAAAATCCGTATGCGATGGACGCCTACACGATGCAGCCCATGCATTACGACGGCGCCAACCAGCGCGCGACGACGAACGTGCCAGCGTACGAAGCCAACCCGTCGCAGTACCCAACGCACCACGCACCCGCGTCCCCCGTGCCGTCATCCGCACCGTCGTCGGGTGCGAACTGCGTCGTCGTACCAAATGCCACCATGTTTCATTTACGAGCCATGTTGTAGCCTTTAGCTTTTCCAGCTTTCTCACCAAGATGGAAACCAAGAGCTCGTTGCACTCGGAGCAGCTCACGGACACGTCGCGCATGGACACGGACTCGGTCTGTCCGCGCAACCCGTCGCGGCTACTCTCGCTGCAAGACCTCACGGCGTCGACCAACAAGCGAATGCGGCCCGACGAAGCCTGCGACGGCAACACGCGCCGTGACGCGCCGCACATGCCGTCGTCGCCCGTGCCGTCGTCTGGTACACCGACATCATGTCATCGCAGACGTGTCACGTCATTCACTTCGATGACATAGCGTTCAGCTTTTCCAGCTTTATGCGCCCACCGCCAGGCACAGCGTCGGCGCCAACGCCTGTCTCGCCCGTCGCATCGTCCTGCGGTACCTTCTTACCTCTCTTTACGCCGTGGATCATAATGCATGGCTAGCACTGAGCCTCACGAGCATTCTCAAGCCTGCCCCGTCGTCGCCCGTGCCGTCGTCGAGCGGTGCGCACCTCAGCCTCTTTGTTTGCGCACACAACCTGTGTGTATGGTAGCGTTTAGCTTTTCGAGCTTTCGACGGCCGCAGGCGCCGCCGTCGCCCGCGCCGTCGACCGTGCCGTCCTGCGGTAGACACAAGACTTTGGTTCTTGCATCTGTGACATGATGCGACTAGCCTTTACCTTCTTTTCCGACATCATTGGCGTCGACGACAAGCAGTGTCCGACCAAGAAGCGGGCGACGCGCTACGACTACTTTCAACGCGCGCTGTGTCTGAGCGAGATTCACTTGCTCATTGCGTCGATCGTGACGTTTAACGCGAACGACCTCGACTTTACCGAGGCCAAAAGCCCGCTCCGCGACTTTTACATTTTTACCGAAGAGTGCGCGACCTTGCCCGTGGCCAAGTGCGCGGTCTCGGAAGGCGCGACGCTGCAGAGCTACGAAGAGACGCTCACGTTTTGCGTCAACCTTGTCCGGCACTCGTTCCGGACGGGCTTGATCGGCCGGTTCCAGTCCTTTCTGCATTCAAAAGCCCACTGCATTTTCAAGCCCGAGCTCCTCGACCAAGCGTACATTGATTTCATCAAATTTTGCGAAAACGAAGTCGAGACGTACGTGTTTCCACGCAAAACATGCAGTGCGACGCGTTCCTCGAGTACCTCAAGCGCAACTTGCCGCACGAAGTCGTCGCGCTCCTTCGTACGTCCAAATCTGTCGCCAAGAGATTGCTTATTGTTGTTGTGATTAGACCACGAGTCGGACGACGGGGCCGAGCCCGCGGGGTACTTTGAGCTCGTGACACAGCTGCGTCAAGCGTACCAGTTCAAGAAGACCGAGGAGCACAACGAGTCGACGCGCGATGAAGAAGGGTCCGAGCCCGAGGGTGCGATCGACGCGACCTCCATCACGGGCCGGTGGCGCCGAAAAGTGCCGCTGCCTGGAACGTACACGCCGGGCACCAGCAGCAACAACCCGTCGTGGGTCTACCGCGTCCTCGGTCTCAAGATGATGACGACGTGGAACTTTATCGAGACCCAGACCGAGCTCCAGGTATCCCGCGCTCTCTCTTTGGGCAATGGAAAGATTGAACGCTTGATAGATTGCATTTGAAGAAAGCTTGATTCCGATGCGAACACCGTACTTGCTGACCGGCGACCCGATGTTTCTATCGTTCTCGCCCGTCGGACTCAGCAGCAACTATGCATACGGCGGTCTCGTGCGCTCGGCCATGTCCGGTAGGTCCTTCTTCGTAGGTCGTCTGAGAGCTAAAACGCAGGAAACTGGTCAGGCTACAAGGCGTGGCGCAACGAGCACAACCACATTGTCCTGAGCTGGTACAGCTGGCGCCGCGAGTCGATAGGCCAGAGCTGCGTCCGCCGGCGCGTCATCAAGTCGTTTTACCGGACGCCGCTCGACCCGGACACTCTCGAGTGCCACACGAGGATCGAGGTACTCCATCTCGAATGCATTGTTCCTAAAAGCATGGTGGTAGGTGGCGACGCAGCCCGAGGCCAATCTTGGCGAGCTCAGTGTCACGGAGCGCATCAACTACCCCGGCGAATGGCAGTGCCTGCATGACGAGATGACGCAATTCGTTCGGATTCCTGGCCCGCGCAAGTAGCAAGCGTACGAAAACGCCCTAGAATATACAGTCGTCGTGTGCTGTCGTTTTTGCGTGGGACTTGAGCCATTTTATGTATCGCACACTATGACGTGGCATGTGCTCAGCGCTAGCGGTTTCACTTTGCACTAACATACGTGGCACGTTCTAGACGAAAGTCGCTCGGGCTTGCGTTGTTTTAATTGTTGTTAGATTCTAGCAACACATCAATTCTAGTCAAAGAGGCGCGAATCACGCTCCGCACGCTGCTTGAGCCGCATGTAATACTGCGTGCGCTGGCGGATGTGGTCTGCGACCTTGGCCTTGTCACGCATCTGCTGGCGTGCAAGCACGGCGTCTTCCCGCGCCTGCTCATCCACGCGCATCTGGGCCATTTGGCCCTGGATGTAGGCGTGCCGCACACGCTGACGCTCCTTGTCGACACTGGCGACGCTATTCACGCTGTTGCCACGACCATACCTACGTCCCAATTCGTGACAGCTCTATCAAAAATGAATAAACTACTGCGTGGACTCGGGCTCGAAGCGCAATCGTCCTTCGTTGGCAAACCGCCACGGGTTCAACGGCGACTTTGGACCGCTAGGACAATACGATAGTGATGTAAAAAAGCAGGCAACAAGCTGTGGATACCAGAGGAGCTCCTTGGTGTCGTCACGCGGCGTATGTCCGCTGCGTGTGGGCACGGTCGTTCGCCTACGAGGAAAATGAGGTGTTTCAAGCGGCACGCTCAAGGAATGTACGCTCGGAGTTGAGCAAAATCGAATTTAGGCAGAGTGCCGTGCTCCGGCTTGGCTGGCAACGGCTCTTCGGCCCAACTATATACCACAGTCGTGATGCAAGCAACTATGGCGGCGAAGGGACCTCGATGGCAGCGACGACTGCAACCCAAAGTCCTTGGCTTCGTCCATCTTGATGAGTTGTTTGAACTGCGTCGTAAATTCCCAAAGCGAAATGAGCCCGTCGTGGTCGGCGTCCATGTCGTTGGTGAGGTGTCGAAACTCGGCTTCACTGAGCACAATGCCTTTCTTCATCAACTAATTGGAATAGAAACACTGCTACAATGTACAAGAATGTCAATAGTTTACCCCGTGGCGGAATTCGGCATACGTGAGCTTGCCACTGCTGTCGTCGTCCATGTCGCCAAAGCTTTGTAAAATTCGGTTTTTGTAGACTAGAAAGGTAGGTTTCGAGGGTAGGGTCCTCCATATCTCTATACCTTTGAGTTTGGCATACACGGTCTCACTGAGCTTGGCGGCCTACGAGCCTGCATGAACATCGAGAAAACCGTGGTAGAGACACTGTACATCGACGATGTCGGCGGGCGGCGCCACTTTGGAAGGCGGCGGCGCCACGACGTCGGACCGACGGAGCTTGCGCAGGAGGACGCGGTCGTGGCCTTGGAGCACCGGGCCGTTCATAATATTGGCAAACTCGTAAAAACTGAGCATGCCATCCTTGTCTGCGTCGTATCTAGACCATACGAATATTGTCTACGCGATGTAGACCACAAAACACGTACGTGTGGAGTAGTTCTTGGACCGTGTCGCTCGACACATTGATGTTTTGTTTCTCGAGGTTTTTGAGAATCTACGCGGACGCATCTACAAACGTGCGTCGGGCGCGGCAACCAGGTACCATATCCAGGCTGAGTTTGCCTTCCTTGTTCTGGTCCCAGAGCCGAAACACTGTGCCCAGCTTCATTTTCTACCACAAGTTTTATACACGTTTTCCATTGACAATGTGTGCACGTACTTCGTACTTGTTGCGTAGCGTGTAGACCACGTGACAGGCGCCCATCTCGGGCCCCGACTCGGCCGGGTCACCCACGTGCTCGCCGAGCACCGATTGGCCAAATTCGATTTCTTGCAAAATGTGCTGGCGCTGTGGCTTGTCCATGGGCTGGGACGGGAGCACGAGCTGGCAAAACGCGTGGTACGACACACACCTACGCGCCAATCAGAACCACGTTACACTATCAATGTATCGACTGGGTGCTTGGGTCCACGACGCTGCGGATAAGGGCGTCCACTTTCTCGTGGCCGAGCTGGGAGGCCCAGCCCATGGTGGTAAACATGTCTTTCATTTCGCCCTGCGAGAGCTGTCCGTCGTGGTTGATATCCCACGATCGGAATGCAGCGCGCAGCGACTTGGTGCACTCGTACTTGGCTTGCAAAAGCGCCACGAACTCGGCGATGGCGGCCTCTTTGGTTGTGTTGTTAGGAATGTGGTTGGTGGGGGCAGTCGGACTGCGAATGGCGTCGCTCTTAAGGTTTGGACGTCGACCCTGCCGCGTCGCGTGCCATCAGCCTGCCATCGACCACGCCGATTGGTACCTTTTGAGGCGCTTCACGTGGCCTCTCGGGCGCACCCGCCTAGCATGATGGCATTGACGACCTGCTCTGGCAGCGATCGGAGCACCTCAAATTGGTTTGAAGCCGAATCGCCAAGCGGTGCCATCAAGCTACCATTCCGTCCAGATGCTTAGCTAACGACATTCCATAGCACGATAGTACGTCGGTGTGGCGCACGTGGCCGGCCGCACGAAGCGAGGGGTCGTCGGTGCCGCCCTGGACGGCGCACGCTACCACGCCAAGCCCCATCAATATGAGGGCATGGATAGAATGTCGTACAGGCGTCGTCGGCGGCGGCGTTTCGGTGCCGCAAAGGAGGCGGTTGCTCGACCCCGTCCCATGCACTCGGACCTTGGACGCCATCGGCAGCTATAAATACGCCGCGGGCTGCTTGACGAATGGCCTTTCTTCGTCGCAATGCATCAACTAGGGCTGGGGCAAGGCGGGGTATATCCTTTAGTTTTTATCTATCTATCTATCTATCTATCTATCTATCTATCTATCTATCTATCTATCTATCTATCTATCTATCTATCTAAGAGGTTGAATGGCGTGGGTAATCTAGCACTGTGACCATGCGGCCATTATGATACCCCATCGTTGATGGGGCCGGGCTCATGTGCAATGTGAGGACCAAGAAGAGACAGGCGCCGCGACTGCTGTGGTGAGGCGGCTGACTCCACACTTGGCAACCGGCACGATGTGCATCCTCTTTCTAATGGCCTCTGTGGTGGTGCGCACGAGAAGAGAGGGTGCTACGACTAACGATAGTTCTATTGGGCTTACTCGGGGTTGGAGAACTCGCCAAAGACGGACGCAAACGCGCCGCAGATCGACGCGGTCATCAACGTCGCCCGCAACGACGAGAGCGCGGTCGGGTTTGCCTTGTGCGTGAGGAGGAGGCCGGCCGAGAAGCCGCCGAGAAACGTGTTTTTCCAGTCGCGCACGCCGCGGAGGCTCTCGGCCGCGCACGAGACGCCGCCAAAGGTGCCAAGGAAGATAGCAAACGCGCCGCCATTGCGCCCGGCCGCCCGCGCCAGCGACTTGAGATCCAGCGGCACGGCGCCGCGCTGCACCTGGGCGAGGTGCTCGTAGCCATCAATCGAGATCGTCCAGAGCGCGCCCGTCATGACGCCACGGTACACGAGGTGGGCCAGCCGCGCATCACAGGTTGCGGTTTGTTGGGGCATGGCCAATTGAAACAAAGAGGTCCTCTCGATACATACTTGATAATTATGGTTTGTTACAGGATATGTATTGCTACAGTAGTGGACCGTGCGGGGAATTCCCTGGACACGTCGTCTACCTGTGGACGCGCGCTGCTGGTAAGGAATAGCCCGACACGAGGTGGTGATCCATGCGCTAGCATCCATATCCTCGCATTCTGCAGGAGACCGAGTCGGAGGTGGTACCTCCTGTGCACGACTGGTGGCGGAACAGACCCTGGAGCATTCCTTCGTGGAGCCAAGTAGCTTGGGCACGGCCTCAATTCCAGGGCTATGCCTCATTTTAGGCATTCTCCGAATTTGAAAACCTCGCTTTAAGGTCATAATGTTTTTCTACGTGGGTAAATGCGGATACAATGCCTTGTTAAAAGGACAAGGTCCGAATTGGGCTCAAGTTGAACCAAGGCGCGTGCCACAACTTCAACCGGATCATGGTTCCACGAGGTTGCATTTTGCATTTCAGAATCTGACCGGCCATGGTCAAGCACGCGACCGAGAAGACGGGGCTCATGGCCGCCAAGAAGGGCGTCGAGATTGAAATGTACTCGGCGGGCACCGGGACGCGCGAGCGCCGGCAAGACGACGATGACGACGACGACGCGCCCGTGCTCTTTGGCTACGAGTCGCTCGACAAGGACATGATTCCGGCACAGCAAGAGTTTCTCGAGCTCTCGAGCATGGCGCTGCAGCTCTCATTGCGGCAGATGGTGCGCCAGGTCATGACCATCACGGACGCAGCGTTCCAGGGGCACATTGGCACCAAGCAGCTCGCCGGCGTCACGATTGCGTCCGTCTACATGGGCGTGCCGTCGACGTTCATCCAGAATGCGATTCCCGCCATCAGCACGCTGTGCAGCCAGGCGTATGGCGCCGGCAACAACACGCTCGTGGGCATTTGGCTGCAGACATGCATCGTCTTCTCGGTCGTCGGCGCGATCCCGATCATCATCTGGTACATGTTTGTGGGCCACATGATTGCATTGACACTCGACGACACGGAAGCGGTAGGATCGTTGCCGCGCCGTCAATCGACCTCTCATCGTCAGTGTACTAGGTGGCGTACGGACAACAGTTTGCGATGATCATGGCACTCGGGCTGATCCCGCAGTACCTCTATGGCTGCTTGACGACCTACTTTGCAACCCAAGGCGTCATCATGCCGGCGACCTTGTGCAGCACGCTCACGGTTGTCCTCAACATTGTCTTCAACCAGCTTTTTATCTACGGCGGCTTTGGCTACGACGGCCTCGGCTTCATCGGGTCACCGATCGCGACCGTCACCAGCACGTGCCTCCAGCTCCTCATCTTTGTCGCCTACACCGTGTGGTACAAGCAGTACCACCTCGCGTACTGGGGCGGCTGGACCATGGAGTGCGTCAGCAAGGAGCGGCTCATGGTCTTCCTCCCGCTGGCGGTGCCCATGGGCATGTCGTCCGTCGTCGATTGGGCCTCGGCCGCCTGCACGACCGCCTTCTCCGGCTACCTCGGGCCGGACATTGCGGCGTGCCAAGCCGTGCTCAACGGCGTCTTTGGCGTCGTGAACGCCTTCGTCTCTGGCTTCTCGACGTCGACGCAGATCCGCATGAGCCGGTACCTCGGCCAAGGCAGCGCGGTCGCAGCCAAGCGTGTGCTCTCGATTGGTGCGTCGATCGTGGCCGTCTGCGGCGTCACCATGGTGCTGCTCGTGTACCTTCTCAACGAGTCGCTCTTCCGCGTCTGGAGCCCGGACCCGGTCATCATCGCCATGTGCCGGTCCGCGCTCGTGGTCTTTGTGTGCTGCATCATGGTCGCGTTCGGTCGGTTCATGATGACGGCGTGCCTCAACGCGCTGTCGATGGCCAATATCAACTTGATCGCCAACAACATTGGCTCGTGGTGCCTCTATGTCCCGCTCAGTTATGTGCTCCCGATCACGCTCCAATGGGGCCTCGACGGCTTCTGGTACGCCGACATGTGCGGCGAGGCGATGAAGGCGGTCATTTTGACCTGGGGCATCCTCCGCGTCGATTGGAACGCAGCAGCCGACTTTGCGCAGCGGGCCGCCGAAGTCACGGAAACGCGCAACCCGATGCAAGAAGAACAGCGGGAGCTGCTCGCGTACGAGACCGAAGCGCTGTTGACGCCGACGATGTTCAAGAGCCCTGGGGCGCAGTTCGGGTCCGTGCCCCACCACACGCCGAGCGTGCTCAAGCGCGCGCTGTCGCTGACGCCGAAAGCAATGCGCCGCCAGAAGGACGCAAACGTGTAGATGATGAAAAAAGTCGTTTTGGATGCGAATGCCAGCTTGATATGTTGATACTAACGTGCACGGCAAGTACTTTCCAAGCAACAACTGATTTGTGGATGCAATCAGTGGCATAATCGTCATATAGACTCTTTTCGTTGGGAATGGATGCAAAGCTCAAGTGTCGGTAGGCGCGATGTGCGATGGAGGCGCCTTGTGTTCTTAGAACTCCCCGTAGCAACGCTCTAGTATCAATTTATCAAGACAGGCATGACATCGACATTCGGTGGAGGTGGCCATGGGCAGCCCCAACGTTCAAGATCCGTGCTACAGTATACCATCAAGTGGCCTTACTGGCGCAAGCACAAAGTCGGTCGCGGTGCTTGGAGCGTAAGCGTAGAGTTTCCTTGACGAGCTCGGGGGCAGCCTTTCTGCAACGTGTCAAGATGCAGAAGGTACGCAGTCGACCACCGTTTGTCCAGTCGGTGGACTCCTGCTTCACACGCAAGAGGTGCGGGATTCTAGCCCCGTAGGTGTCGTCCCTTTCTTCTCTTTCCCATTGGCGTTGACATCGGATGCATCACGTAGGTTCTTCACACAGCGCAGCGGCGACCATGGCAAGAAGGGCGTTCGATTGGTATCCTCAGCGTCGTTGACTACACGTCTCCAGCTAGAGAATAGTCCATCGCTTGGTCGTGCTCGCGATCACAGCCCGATGTAATGAGAATGTGTCAAGCCAAGAAAGCCAGACAAGTGCCAAGGTGACTGTTGAAATACGCAAAACCGGAAAGAACAAGCGTTGGAGGCCGAAGCGAGATGCTTCATCGAGCGAACCCAAAAGGACGGACGCACATCAAGTCGGATTGGTGTCAGTCATCTTTGATGTATACTACATGCAAGCATTACACTATTGCGGTGCAAGTGCTCGCAACCGCGCGAGCTCTCGGCTCAGGTACCAAACCTTCTCTTGCTGCAGCAGTCGGGACTCGGCGGCTGACTCGCGGTTCGTTCGGCGCCGGTACTCGTCCTTGGACTCGGTCGCGAGCTGCACCGACTTGGCCTTTTTTGCCGGCGCAAACGGCCGGTGCCGGAGACTCGGGTGCGCGGCCTCGAGCCGATGGATCTCGTCGATGATGAATGACAGCTTGTGCTCGCGCTTTTCGCGGTACGCGGCGGCGGACACGCGGTTCTTGGTGTTCTTGACATGGATCAAGACAGGCGGCGACGACGTTGGCACCGCGGACGCCCTGGACACGATCTGCCGCTTGGCGTTGCGGCGCTCGATGGCCAAGCGCCGGCGCACGGTCGCCGCGTCAATCGCGAGCCGGTCGGCCGTAAGGCACTGCGAGAGCGGCGGCAGGTGCGTCTCGTGCCGCCGGAGATGGCCATTGAGGTTCACGAGGAGGTTGCTCGTGCGCAGAATGTCATCGCGCGCCAAGGCATCGTAGTGCGCTGCCTTGTTGTTGCTCGTGTTGAGGATGTAGTGGAGGCCCATGAACTGCGCCATCGTAATACCGTCGGCTTGGCCGTGATCCCGTTGGCAACCAGATGTGTCGCCGCGAGACGTGGGGTGCATCAGCTATTGCCCCACTGCCAGATGGTTCAGAAAACCTCTATCTTGCAATATATTGTTACAGTGCATGGAATGCGGTGGCAAAATCTGTCAATAAGCGGCCCATTTGTATTGGATGTAGTATCTGGATACCTGTAGCAATACATATAAAGTGAAAAAGCATATCGAGTACCTGGACACGCAGGTGCTAAGGGCAACTGCTCGGCTCGCCGCTCCCAAAATCAAGTCCCAGAGACCGTTTGGGGGGAGAAATACGTGGCAGCCTGTACGACGGCCTGCGACCGGGCGTTGTGGACTGGCCTGGTTGCAGCTAAGAAGCGCCTGGGATCATTGTCTCTGCGGGAGCTGTACGAGCTACGCTCGAGCACGACCAGAAGCATATGCAGCCGCATTGCTTGGGAGGTCGGAGGACGAGCAAGAGCAGGCAGCTGCGACACGTTCCGAAAGGTTCAACAAATCTCTGCTCGTGCGATGGATGGACGGCGGCGTCGACGAGGTTCTTTCCGCAGGCAGCTCGCTTCCTGTGACCACTTCTGTGCCGCTGATGTTGACCGGCGCCACGCACATCACGAAAGTGAAGCTCTTGGAGGCCATACTCCGGTTCTTACCCTCGGGTGGCCTCATCCAACGTCCTGTGCTGTTAGCGTGCCACGTGCCTCGTTCTGACCAGACAGGCCATCTTGAGGCCGTCATTCGTTGAAGTACGACGATTCTGCGACCGCCTTGGACGCAGCACGGTCGAAGCTCACACGAGCGCGTAGTGGTGTAGGCGAGCGTCGATAATCCACACCTTCTTTTGATGTTCAATGCCCAACATCCGTGATGCGTGCTGGTGTTTGGTGCAGGCAAGGACGACTGCGTACAGTACACTGTAGAGACTCTTTGGCCGCATCCTCGTGGCAGAGAGGTGATTCTATTGGCGGGAGCTACCATTTTGACGGGTTGGTTGAAGCAAGGCCATGAATATCCTCGGTTGAAGCTTACTATGGACCCAGCTATGGATCTTCTTTACTAACCCCAACTCGAGTTCTTCGCTGATCATTCCAGCAAGTGAACATAGCGAATGGCTTTGCTATCTGCAAACGTCTTGATTGAAGCACTTCCAACTTGCACTACGTGGTCACACACGCGTACACAAGTTTGCTAGACCGCGTTATTGGTAGCTTTGATCACGTCTCGTGTCAGCACAGCAGTACAGTAAACGCCCAGTCATCCAGTGCGACTTCAATCCTCCGACATCTTATTCGCACTGGCACGAGAAAACACCTATCAGACGGCCTTGCAAAGTTTTCCGATACAAAAAGCAAGAGAAATACGTGGCGCAATGCAGGACTTTTCGTGGACTTTGCTGTTTGCCAAAATGGTCAACGGCAATGCGT